AAATAAATAGGACCTCATAAAAATTAAAAACTTCTGTTCATCAAAAGACTACCAAAAAAGTGAAAAGACAAGCTACAGACTGGGAGAATATCTTCAGAAACCATATGTCTGATGAGAAACTAATAACCAATATATGTATACAACTTCAACAACTTAACAACAAAAGGACAAACAACCCAATCACAAAATGAGCAAAGGACTTAAACAGACATTTCACCAAAGAGGACATTCAAATGGTCACTAAACACATGAAAAGATGATCAGCATCATTAGCCATCAGAAAGCTGCAAATCAAAACCACAATGAGATATAATTTTACTCCCACTAGCATGGCTAAGAAAAGAAAATAACTACTGGCAACGATGTGGGGAAACTGAAACCCTTATCTACTTCTGGTGGGAATGCAAAATGGTACAGCCATTGGGGAAAACAGCGTGGTGGTTCCTCAAAAAACTAAAAATGAACTACCCTAAAAAAAACCAAAAACCAAACCCGCTGTCATCAAGTCGATTCAGACTCACAGCAACCCTACAGGACGGATCAGAAATGCCCCATAGGGTTTCCAAGGAGTGCCTGGTGGATTTGAACTGCTGACCTTTTGGTTAGCAGCTGTAGCCCTTAACCACTATACTACCAGGGTTTCCAGGACCACCATATGAACCAGCAATTCAACTCTTAGGTATGTACATAAAAGACTTGAAAGCAGAGACTCAAAAAGAGACTTGTATACCAATGTTCACTGCAGCACTATTCACAATAGCCAAAAGGTGGAAACAACCTACATGCCCATCAACAGGTAAGTGGATAAAAATGTGGTATATACATACAATGGAATACTTCTCAACCAGTAGGAGAACAAAGTCTTGACACATGCTACGGTATGAATAGGTTTGGAAAACATTATGCTGAGTGAAGTAAGTCAATCACAAAAGGACAAATATTGAATGACCTCATTTATATAAAAAGACAAGAAAAAGCAAACATATAGAGACCAAAGTTTATTAACGCTTACCAGGGGCAGGAGTAAGGGCAAAAAGGGGGATCAATGGTGATAGAAAAATCACACTGATTAAGGGTAGGGCTGCACAGCTGATTACTGTAATTGTTGTCAATAAATTGTATACCTGTAAAAAGTTGAACTAGCAAAAGTTGTGTAATAGATATATTTACAACAATAACAAAAAAGAAAGAGTAGCTGCTGAGGCTGCCTATGTACAACCAAAGACTTCATTGGATTTAGTTTCTTGGTTTGGAGGCTTAGGGTCATGGTTTCATGGGACACCCCAGTTAACTGTCCTGACAACGTGATTAGTGCTTTTGTTCTATATCCTAGTTCACTGCATAGTGCCTGGGGTCTTAAAAGCTTGCAAGCAGCCATCCAAGGCTCAACGATTGGTCTCTATTCACCTGGAGCAACAGAGGAAGAAGGAGTCAGGAATAGGAGGAAGATATGGAATGTGTTGTTAACTGCCTCCTTTTCCATGAGACCAGAACTGGATGGTGCCCAGCTACTGCTACTGAACATTTTGATCGAAGATTCCATAGAAGAATCTTGATCAAAAGAGGGAAAATGCAGGACAGAATTTAAAATTCTAATGGACTCCAGAATTTCTGGAGCCATGGAGGGCGGATAAACCCCTGAAACTACTGCACTGAGATAATCTTTAAGCCTTAAACCAAAAATACTCCCTGAAGTCTTCTTAAAATCAAATAACAGTTTAGTTAAACTAGTAAAAAATGTCTGCCTTGAGCACTATGTTCTTTTACGAACTGTCTCTATGGGATGAAACAGTAACTCGAAAGATTAGGGGGGCACATGTTTATGTTAACGAGGGAGAGAAAACTGAGAAAAGGACGTGAGAATGGTTGCACAACTCAAAAAATGTAATCAATGTCACAAAATTGTACACATAGAAACTGTTGAATTGGTATATGTTTTGCTGTGTATATTCTCAACAACAACAAAATAAATAAAATTTAGGGGCAAAAAAAGTTAAAGGAAGTCCTATTCAGGCTGAAATGAAAAGACACTGGATGGTAACTCAAAGCCATGTGAAGGAAAAAAAGATCTCCAGCAAAAACAATTCCATGGATAAATATAGAGGGCAGTTTCACAGTATTTTTGTGTTGTAATTCTACTTTTTATGTCCTACACGATTTAAAAGACAAATGTATATAAAGATGTAATTTGTGACAACAATATAAAAGGGGGGAAGGAGTGGTATAGGAACAGAGTTTTTGTATATTATTGAGGTTAAGTTAGTATCAATATAAACTAGGTTGCTATTCATTTAGGATTTTAATAAAATCCCCATAGTAACCACAAAGAAAATATCTAAAAAATATACACAAATGGAACCAAGAAGGGAATAAAAATGGTTCACTAAAAAAAAAATCAACTGAACACAAAAGCAGGTAGTACTGGAGGAAATGAGGAACAAGAAGAGGTATAAGACACTCAGAAAACAAATAGCAAAAATGCCAGAAGGACTTCCTTATGGGTAATTATTTTAAATATAAACGGACTAAACCCTCCAATCAAATGGCAGAAGTTGGCAGAATGGATAAGAAAACTATCCATACGCAGTCTACAAGAGACCCACTGGAAATGCAAAGACACAAGTAGGTTGAAAGTGAAAGGATGGAAAAAATATTTCCTGCAAATAGCAAACAAAAGAGAGCTACATTAGCTATATTAATAGCTGACAAACTAGACTTTATAAGACACAAAGAAGGACATTATATAACAATATAAGGGTCAATTCAACAAGAAGATAGAACTATAAATACATATATACCAAAAACAACCAAAATCCATTGCCATTGAGTTGATTCCGACTCATAGGAACCCTGTAACAGCAGAGTGGAACTGCCCCACAGGCTTTCAAGGCTATAATCTTTATGGAAGCAGACTGCCACATCTCTTCCACAGAGCGGCTGGTAGGTTCGAACAATCGACTTTTCATTCAGCAGTCAAGTGCTTGACCACTGAACCACCAGGGCTACTGCACCAAACAACAGTGCCCCAAAATATATGAAGCAAATACTGACAGAACTGAAGAGAGAAACAGTCTTACAATAATAGCTGGAGATGTCGATACACCACTTTTAACAATGGATAGAACATGTAGACGGGGATGAATAAGGAAAGAGAGGAATTGAACAACACTATAAAACAATTAAGAGTCCCTGGGTGGTGTAAATGGCACTCAGGGAAGCCTTGGAAGAAAGGCCTAGTGATCTGCTTCTGAAAAATCAGTCACTGAAAACCCTCTGGAGCACAGCTCTACTCTAACACACATGGGGTTACCATGAGCCAGAATTGACTTAGCAACTGGTTTTTTTAATAAACCAATTAGACCTAACAGACATATATAGAACTGTCCATTAAACAACTGCAGAATACACATTCTTCCCCAGTGCACATGGATCAATCTACAGGATAGACCATAACTAGCTCACAAAACTAAGTCTTAATAAATTTTAAAAGACTAAAACCATACAAAGAATCTTCTCTGGCTACAATGGCATGAAAGTAGAAATCAGTAACAGAGGAAAACTAGAAATTTCACAAACCCTATAGAAATAAAAAGGATTATAAGAATACAGTCATGTATCACTTAACGTCCACGATACATTCTGTGAGGATATCTGCTCCATTAGAGATTCCCTTGTACTCTCTTACAATGTACTAAATTCACCAACTATACTGTTAACTTCTGAAACAGAGTATAATGTCTCTTGATTACTTTTTCCTTCTACTTTTCCATAGTGCTATCCATAGAAGGAACCTTAAAAAACAAAACAAAACAAAAAAAAAACCCCATTATCGTAAATTCCGACTCACAGTGACCCTATAGGACAGAGCAGAACTGCTCCATAGGGTTTCCAAGGAGCGGTTGGTGGATTCAAACTGTCGACCTTTTGGTTAGCACTTGAGCTCTTAACCATTGCATCACCAGGGCGCCGACACAGATATTCTTAATTGCCTAAATTTAGTAATCAGCAGAGAATTTACCAAAGAGATTCAGAATACTGAAACCTAAATTTTTTTGGTTACCCTTTAAAAAAAGAGGTGAGATGTTTAATTTAAAAATTAAAATTCATAACAGCAAGATTAAGCAAATATAAGACAGCTTTAACTGTATTCTAAAAACAATAACATGGTCATAATTAACACAGCAGAGAATATCATTAGGTAATGAGAGCAAAATCTTAGCACTCAGGAGCTAAAATATGTTCATACTTACTGTGTTCTACCAAGAGGCACACCTCCCCAAGCCAGAAACTGCTTGTTGGATAAAACTGATGGAATATCTGAGCAGCAAGATCCGAGTGTCAGAGGTTTATTTCCCGAAGAAACTATTTCACCTTTTAACACTACTTCATACTGAGGTCCAAATGGCTGCACAAATATTTTCATGATCCTAACAAACAAAGCAATCTAAGTTGAATGTCCTGTATTCAATTTGTTTGGTAAGTATTTCCTGCATGCTTCCTTGCTAGGTGCTGAGGATACAATGTCAGTCCCACCCTTAGAGGTTATGCTGTAGAGCCGAACACAGACAAGGCAAGAGACGACCACAATCCTATCTCAATACTAAGATGTGAGAAATTCACGGTGCTACAGGAATACTATTTAGAGGAATTTGGGACAAATCAAGGAACACTTCTCGGATGAAGGCATTAACTCAGTGAAGTTGAGGGCAAGTGCTCCAGGAACAAGTGTTCACATTTGTGAAGGCAAGATTCTTCTTTTCCTTCATAAGGTTCTGAGGCAGACTGAACACACTAAGGCTTCCTATACCCAGGGCAGGAGATAAGCCACGTGAGTCTCAGAGGACAGGGTGCTTTGAAGCTAGTTTTATGGAAGCAAGTTCAAATACTAATGACAAAAGTATTCTTACTGTAAGCTGATACTCACTTATGATTTGGGTACCAAAAAGTCACACACCTGGAGAAGTGATAGGAAAAAGTATCTTATAAAACAACTTACAAGGTCAACCAATAGGTCCTTTGGAGCGAGAGAAAAAGCTAATGAGAACATCTAAACTGACATTTTAGTATTTACTTTTGTTAGAATATACTTAACAGTGATTTATCAATTTCTAGTCAGCTGGTTTAAAAGGAGACTTTTAGTAAATAAAAAGGAAAATCTGAGGCTAAATGAAGAGAGGTGAAGCAGTGCTATACCATCTATTAGGTGAAGTAAAATGTGTACTTTATTATTCAGGCTGTGGACTGAAGTACATTTAAATAAATGGCTGTTCAGAAAGATGAATAAAAACTTGTCATTATAAAAATTTTGAATTACCTTTTCTCACATGTTTTGGAATCCTTTGGGGTAAATGAAACCATAACCTCACGTTCTTCTCCGGGTTTAAGAAACAGATTTTCTGGGTCCACTGAGAAGTGACTTCCTTGATCTGGGATCTAAATATTTATATAATTATAACTAAATGACTACTTACGCAGACAGTTTTTACTCAGTTACTCTTCTCGTCTTATGCTCTTTTTTCATTTACAATGGACTCTCTGTCCCACCTTGTCTTATTTTCCTGAAAAAGGATACTTTATCCTTTTCTCTCCTCCCTAACAAACCTTAAACCCCACCCATTCCTAGTTCCCTATCACTAGCGCCCTCTCACTCACTGCAGGCCTCAGAAACAAGTCTGTGTATAAGATCACTCTCTTCTAATTCTCCACAGGGTGTCATACGCATTTTTCAGAAACTAAACTAGAATTTGGTTCTTATACTGAAAATATTAGATGCCCAAGTTCAAGTACCATGTGATGTTCTACACCAGTGTAACAATTCAGTTTTTTAAACACATGCACAAATTTTGATCCTCACAACACTCTGACAGAGCAGGCAGCACTGCGACCTTCAGAATGTATTCTCTGAAGAAATATTGTATCACTTGGATAGAGATTCTTACCTTGATATCTAAATAAACTTCGATATTCCCAGCATTTTTCAAAGGTAAGCACTGCTTTGATGAGGAAGCCACACTAGCAAACAAATGCATAGTCTAGAGGAGGGAAGAAAACAGGGATTTAAGAAAAATTGTCATAAAAAATGACATCACCTGAACATAAAAAAATAATGGCAAAAAAGGAGAGTTTAGGATACCTGCAAATCTTTTGGAGCATGTATCCTAGCTACTCCTGTTCTTGCTCGAAGACTAACACTTTTAATAACCGGAGTAGGGTTTGGGCTATCAAGCTCTATATCAACTCTTGCCAAGAATTCTTCTGCCGAGTCCAGAGTCTCTATAAAAGATCGTGCTTTTAGTTCAGAGACTAGAGAGTTATTTAACTGGAAATGCCATCAGTGGTCCAAAATAGTGTCCTTAGAGGGGTCACAAAAAATCTTAGGCAAGAAGATTTTTAAAATAATTCAGAGAGAAATCAAAATGAGTGCAGAGAAAGGAGAAAAACAGAAGAAAACACCCAACTGCTGGATGCAATCAGATCAAATGAGAGAAACGATCCCGTAAGGTTTCCAGTGGTCCCAGCTCAGGTTACCCACACCCCAGAAGGGCAAGCCATCTGCCCTAGTTCTAAAACAACATAAAATACTTGATAAGTTACCCAAAGTATTCACGTATACTAAGGTCCTTGGGTGGTACAGAGGGTTTGTGCTCAGCTGGTAACCAAAAAGTTTGGCAGTTCAAACCCACCTAGAGGCACTGCAGAAGAAACAGGCCTGGTGATCGCTTATGTAAAGATTATAGCCAAGAAAATCCTATGGAGCAGTTCTACTCTGTTAACACATGGGGTCTCCTAAGTCATAAATCAACAACAAAAACAAAATCAACAACCAAAGTATTCACATATACTGAGAGATGAAATAGTCTCAGATTTGTAGTTTATCTGTAGCTTATGTAAAGCAATTCTAACAAAATGTAAACGTAATACCTGAAGAACACATCTGTTTCTTTGGATTATGGAAGAGAACCCAAATTATCAGAAATTCTGGCTCCTGTAAAATGAAAAACAAAAACACATACCAGCATGAAGATTAAGATCTTAATGAAAGAAAAGCAGTTTGGAAATGCAACTTCCTCTCCAATTCTAAGCCAGTTCTCCACTGTTCCCACATACCTGTCCATCATAACTGGCGAGCATCACATGATTTATCACAGACGGAGCTGTTAGTTGAGCAATCACGTCGGCATAGGGAGCAGCTTTCAGAGAAGCATTAACTGGTTCCTTAGAAAATGTGAAGCAGCGCCAGGCAATGGCATTCTGTTCAGAAACAGAAGAATCTGTTTCAGAAGTGCTAACAGTATAACATTAAACTACCATTCTAAGGACCCAGAATGGTTAACAAAAAAGTTTACTTTCATAGAAAAAATTAACCAAGAATGATATTAGCAGTATCTATAATTCCAGATCAGTACACTTTTGAAGCAATTTCTTACTGTATTTTAGTACTCACGGCATTAATAACAAGTCTGACCGGCACAGTAGCATGTGTCCTGTTTATCATTTTTAATGGGAGAGCTTTCCAGCCTCCATAAGTCAAGTCACCAAAGTCAAGAACATCTTTCTTTTCTGTTTCTACCTAATGACAGAGGGAAAAAAAAGTATCAATATACTAATAAATATCTTCTCTACCACAAATTAAGAGTCAGCATTAAAGGTAAACTTTCCTAAGTTTTCCCAGGCTACTTTATATTTACTATTTTCTACCAAAATACATGTTAAAAATTGTTCTTTTGAGGTAGCCTATGTTCCCAAATATACTACATAACAAAGGACTATCTTAGCTGCTGCTACTCTGAAAACACTATTTGATCTTAAACCAAGCTGACAATTTTAGAAAATATACAAATGTCCTTTCAATGAGCTCTATTATTAGAATATTGGCATCTCAATCCCCTTTAAAACATATCTTGGCATTTTCAGATTTAATCCAAAATTCTAACAAGACTGAAAATGTTTAAAAGTATATAAAAATGAACATTTCGAAAGTTTCAAACATTTAAAATGAGTGCCTACTGCATAGCAAGCAGTGTCCTAGGTGCTGGATCATGACAGACTTCTCTGACCAGGGACCACCCTCACACTGATCCCTGAACTGTTGGGCAAATTTAACAACAACAACAAGTCCTTTTCTGGCCTAGCCAAACATAAAATAAAGGGAAACCAAAGACAGATTGGAGAGTGGAAGCTGACTTCTGTAGTGGCCCATTATGTTTCTGGGTTCAGAATCAGGCACCAAGAATAGCCCCTGAGAATAGAATACATGACCTGAAGCTTGTTGCAAGCACGGCAAGGTTGGAATGGAATTTAAACTCCCTGTGTAAAGCCCAGAGATTCAGAGACGTGCCTTTTCTATGAGAAGGGACCTAGAAAAACTCTGGGAAGCAATAAGGACACTTGTCCAGGGATGGGTGGGTATGAAAAGAACATCTGCCTATGCCACACTCCAAATATGGGAACCCCAAGCTGAGAGTCACTGAAGCCACCAGTGCCCCCTAGCATTGCCACAAAGTGCTCTGTAGAGACACTTTCACCAACCAGGACACATGGGGTTTTTATAGCAAAAAGCAGCTCCAGTGAAGGTGAGTTCAGAATAAAATTTTAAAAATCAATTAAAAACTTAGACACCACATGAAGAAAATAATCCGAAAGATCCAGCAAAAGTGACTAGCAGATGATGGTAATGGGTTTATAATAAGAGAATATCTTCATATTCTATGTCCTCCATGCCCTGGAAAATGAAAGAAACTGCTGAGCTAAGTTACTAAGCATTCCCTCTGGTAACTTTCTACTTAAGTTCAAAAGGGAGAAGTTGAGGAAGGGCATTTGTACTGTGAAAAAAAAAAAACTGGAATGATTCTCAGCAGCCCAATGGGGGGCTGTTCTACCCTTCGTACCTCACACCACACCTCTAAACTGGGAATCGAAGCTATTGCTTTGCTGAATGAAACAAATTAATAGTAGGACCTCATTAACACCTGTTAAGTGTGGTTAAATAAACCTGTTAGGTTCAAGTTATATGAGGAATCAAGTAGTATTTAATTATGTTGAAGACGTGTCCTGCTTTTCCTGTTTCGTACCTTCCCGTATCTCCTCCCACATTCCTTAATCTCGTTCAAGGTATTAATTCTCATTTCACTCACAATCAATTAAGACTAAAGACATTTCTTAATTAAGGCTGCAATCTGTAATCCTCTGCAGAGACTTAAAAATTACTGACAGCTAGGCCCTACCCCACACTCTGATTTAACTGATGTTGGTGGGCTCAAGCGCTGGGTGCATTTCAATTTCCCAGTGTTATTCCAATGTGCAGCCAGGGTTGGGAACTGCTGCTCTAAAGGAACGTATGTTACAATGACCTCTTCATTACTCCCAAGGAGACTAGACCTAATTTTTTTCACTTCCAGGAAACAGGTGACTATAGGAGAAAAATTTTTCAGCTAGCAGATAATCTTCAGGTATAAAAAAGGGACAAGGAGAACATGAACCACTGGCACTTTCCTAATAAGTGCGCATCAAACTATATAATGGAAATCAGTTGAAAATCGAGTTTAATGTAGTTTGCTTTATAAATATCTTAGCAAGTATATTTCTGTTGCTATAAAACAATAAAAATTATTTTAAATTTTGGAATAGAAAGATATTAAGAACTACTCTTTAACTTGAAACTAACTTTGTGCTACATTAAACCATAAATTCATTTTTCCCAAATATTACTCTTAAGGTTCAACAGCCTTCATCAAAATGTCAGGCATTACAAAGATTCACTTACAAACACTTACCTCGATGACAGGGGTCTCAGCAACAGCAGTGAGAATGACTCTGCTGGCCAGGGCTTCAGCTTGTACTATCGTCTCAGCATCTGCTGAAAACGGCCAAGAGGCAACACTGAATATACATCTGAAAATCCCAGGATTGGACGGTATGAAAAGTACTTTTATCTCTTCTGTGGTGTGAGGTCTTATGATGACTTTATTCTTGAAAACTAAACAAGGATACTTTGAAAGATCCACCTTTAAAAAAGAGTCACAGGGTTCATTAACAAACGGCTTCACATGGAAAAACAAGTAGCATCAACTAGTTTTTCTTCTTCCTAGTCACTCAAACTACCAAATCTAGACATTTTATTACCTCTTCAAAAATACTCAAATCTTGTAACTCGTTATCTTTAAAGTACAATCGGTCAAAATGCTTCGTAAGTTGAATTATTCTCTCAGAGTCAAGACTATGTTCTTAGTCTATTGCAAAGTAAGCAAATTTATCTATACCCTTACTTTCCTCGAAAAAGGCACTGAAAATGGTCGCACTTTACAGCCCTGTAAATTCTTTTTAATCCATTTTGGTACCAGAGAGAAACTAACCATATTGCTATGGATAACATGCCAGCTTCTGATCTGCAAGGAATCCCTGACTTAGCCAAGCTGCGACCAAAGGCCAAAAAACAGAGCAGTGTAATGAAGAGTACAAGAATGTAAAATCAGTAGACCTTAGCCTTGCTACTTACTCAGCTATTACAAAATAGCTGGGTGACTCGGAGTAAATGATTTTAATCTCTCTAGGACACAGTTTCTGCAGCTGTAAAATGCAAGGGAGTTAGACTGATATCTAAGGCCCTCATAAGGCCTCAAAGTCTATGATTATGACCAACTCCAGTTCCCTTCTCCTCACCAATTTATGGGATCTTCTTTTCAACTCCCCACTTCAGAGACAACACTAACTCCTATCAAAAAAAAAAAAAAAAAAGACACTCCCTCCTAGATACCTCTAAGAAGTCCTCAAATCTCACTTCCCTCCATCCTCAACCCCCGCCTCCAATTACCTGCTTCTCATCTAACCTCAGGATCTGATAGCTAAGGGAAAAGACTAAGAAAAGGAGAGAGGTAGGGTAGAGAAAATCTTATTTTACCAGGTAAATAAATGTTATTAGAAGGTAAGAGGGTGGAGTAAACTCATTTGCCAATGGTTGTTTCCAAGTACCAGTAGCAAAACCAAACACTCCAAAACAGTGGTTGCTAACCATATTTCCCACCTTCCCTACTCACTGATTTTCAAATGATCACTAACTATGATCAGGAAAGGAATATTATTTAGATTCTAGAGTTTTACTAACTGTAACTGATCATGTGAGAGACCCTTGCTCTAAGAGTTCATGTTAAAACTATATTTTCAGGTATTTCAAAAGATCCTGTAAGAAAATGATCAGACACATTAGTCATAAAGATTCCTCTTATTAAAGAAAGGTGTATGTCTTAAGAGTAACATCTTTCTTTCTTCCGAAAAATGAGAGTAACTTATATTCAATTACATTTCACAAAATGTCTAACAAGTAGAGACCAGAAACGCAGAGCTTTCAGTCATTTAAATAATAGCACTAAAAGCAAATTTATAGGCTTTTGTAAGTAAATAGCAATGAAATATATAATATTTAATGGTAATAAATAATGAGCAATGAGAAACACAAATTTCACTTCTCACACTGGAAGTACGACAACAAAAAGGGGGCCAAGAAAAAGATATTGTTCCAAAGATTGTGTGCAGGGTATAAAAAAGATAGAGGGTTAGAAAAGATTCCCTTGTACAAAAGGAGGTACTAGAGAGAGGAGAAATCAAACATTTAATCATGAAGTAACTGTTAAGTCAAATGAGAACGATACAGAAAGCTTACCTTCTCACCATTAACACTGACACTGAGCACCCCAATGCTGACCTGTAACCAGCGGTCAGCTGGATTCAAGACACTGAGGTGGGTTTGGGAAACAATACCAACACAGCAAGCATGAGGGAACTTCAACTCCTCAGGTACTCTTACATACGCTGGATAAGAAAAAAGCATAATCAAAATGTAATTTATATTAAACACCTGATTAAAAGCACAACCGGTTAAATGAAAACTATTATAGAAAACCACCTACTTATATGCAGGCGTCCTTGGGTGGTGCAAATGCTTATTGCACTCAGCAGCTAACTGAAAGGTTAGTGATCCAAGTCCATCTAGAAGTGCCTCAGAAGGCCTAGTGATCTACTTGCAAAAAACTGGTCACTGGAGACCAGATAGAGCACAGTTCTAATCTGACACACACGGGGTTGCCATGAGTTTGGTTTTATCTGTACAAGTGCCCCAAATCTTTAGGGATCCTTGACATTATATAAGCCTCAGCACAGTCCTGCCAACAATTTTTTCTTCCGCATCTAGCCCAGGAAAAAATATCCATTAAAATTTATCAAACCCATAATTTACAGCTAACCAACTCTTTGATGTTATTACTTATTGGTAATCATCCCTTCCTTTTTTCTCCCACAAATTATAAGCCACTGTCTAACCTAAGAAGAAACTACAGTGGCTACAACTTTAAGATGTATGCACCTACTTAGAGTGTGTAACACAAACATCAATCTTTAACCATCCTTCCGCGGTTACTTTGGATTTTTTTTCAAGAAGAAAAAGGCAGCAGACAAAAAGACAATAGTCCAGTGGCTGTGTGTATCATATCAGGAAAAGTACAGCACCCATTTCTGACTCAGCAGAGCCACGGTACAGTTCAGCCACACAGAGAGGAGTGGAAGAGCTGTCTCTCGCTGCCACATGGTTACTCTGTCTCAGTCTCCGAGGGCTGACATAACAAAAACACCACAAGTGTGTGGTTTTAAAGAACAGGAATTTACTGTCTCGAAGTTCTGGAGGCTAGGAGTCCAAATTCAGTAGGACTAAACAGTCTCTGTCTCTGTGGGCTGCAGGGGAAGATTCCTTGTTTCTTTCTGCTGCTAGCAATTCTTGGCGTTCCTCGGCTTGCATATGCCATGCATGTCTGTGTCTGTTCTAAACTTTTTATAAGCATCACTCAGAAGGGATTAGGTTTATGACCCATTCTAGTCTGGTATGACATTATTAACATAACAAAAGAAAATCTCTATTTCCAAAGAGGGTCATATTTATGGTACAGAGACTAGGACTTCAACTTAACTTTCTGGGGGACACAATTCAATCCTTAACACTCTCCAAAAGGCTTAAAGGTGAAAGGTGACTCACCCATCAGGGATCCAACTCAAACTGGGTACTTCTTAGTTGCAAGAATAACAGAACTCCAAAAGCAGAGCAAGAGAGATAAGGAAAATAAAGATAAAGGCATAGGGAACTTTTCACCTACATGAATTTTAATATTTTCTAAGGCAATCTCAGGGGCCCTGGCACAGAAATATATATGCTCTGTGTTCAAAATTCAGGATAAGGAAAAAAAAAAAAGACATTACAAGAAATTAAGGCCAACCAGTATTACCTTGAAACAAATCAGTTCTGTGGTCTGGTTTGAGAAAACTCAACTTTTAAATAATAGCAACAATGAGAACAACAGAGCATCTTACCTAATTCTGACATCCTTCCTGAATCCCACGGACCAGTTCCACAGCTTGTACCAACAGATTGCACAGGAAAAGGTTTTGCTGTACTTAGAAGATTCTGATTTAAGGCATTAGAATACGGGTTACAAAGAGAAGTGGTACCCATCAATCCAGAGCTGAAATTTTGTCCTAGACAAATTCCCACAGCCATCGAGTTCTGAACATGCTCTCCTGGGAGAGCAGGATGAGGACAGCCTCCTGAGAAACCACAGACTGTGGCACCACCAACAAGGCAAGGAGGCAAAGCGACGTTTCCAGCTGAAGGCAGTGACCCTAAATACTGCTGGGCAAAAGGCACAGTGGTCAGAGAATGTCCAGTCAAGAGTGTGGGAATAGTAGCGGGCAGGTGCTGCATCTCAGGAGCAGAGCCGTGGCCTGCAAAGCTGGGGACAGCGGAACACTGGTTATCAGGAGCTGTCTGGTTAGGAATCGGGCCACTTAATTCACTGCTGGCAGTTAATACATCTTTGGAAGTCCTTCTTTGACCTTTGTTAACGGATTCCGGGCAAGACGCAGGGAGGTCAGCAGTAGTAGACAAAGCCTGACGGCTGAGACATTCCCTGCTGGGTAGAGTCATAGTGATCTGGTCCAATTCATGAGAGTTTGATGCCAAACCTACCAGACGGGTTTCAAAGAGATCTCCACTTTTGGAAGGAGGATCTTTACAAACTCTAAAGTTAGGTTTTACATCTTCAGTTTTACTACTCTGGAAAGTAGTTTCAGTCACTTTTTTCTTATCCAATTTGTTCTGAATAACAGATGATAATGTTCTTTTTTCTTTTCCTTGAAATGGAACTTTTTCATTCAAGTTTTCCACAGTGTGTTCCTCCAATGGAGTTGGGCTGGCACGAATAATTGTGGTGCTCAACTCACTGGTGATATCACTCTGAGTGTAACAAAAAAATGTTTTTAATAATCTACAGCTAACCTGAATATTATAAACTTAAACCATGCTGGCATCTTCTCAAGTAATACAATAAAGAGATGTACATGACATTATCTCTCTGAAAAAAATTCAGTTTACACAAAGAAAAGTAGTTTTGCAGCTGTGAAATGCAGGCTTAAAAGTTAGAACTTTTGCATTCATTATTTTATGAAAGTAATTATAATGAGGAAACTAAATAGAAGGTGTACACCAATTACACCTCTGAAAATACTTACATAAATAAAGGAATAGAGACAAGTAATTTTTTACGAGTTTAAGGAATTTTTCTCTGTAAACTATACAATAAAAATCTAATTAATAACAAAAGGGGGAGTGAGCAGGCTTTTGAAATGTTATCAACACGAGGTTAGAATCAAGGCAAAGCCAACCTAATCCGCCAGCCTCCATGACCTATGTATACTGCTGTGTGTGCTTGAAGACCTGAAGATGCTAATTTTTATGAGCACTAACTCTTTTCCAACTTCTAAACCCAGTGGTTCTATTTTCTTAAGTATGAAGTAATGGTTGTAATAACTGTTCATATACTCATTTCTCTCTAATGCATAACCTAAAGGGTAACATCTACAGCCCTGCGGGAAGGACCAGCTGGAATTTACATACAATCTAACATATACTTAACCTTTACTGACAATTATTTTTGGCACTTGGTTTTGAAATTTTCCTGGACCAAAGCTTTAGAAACAAAGACAGTAAGTAAACAACACCAGATTATTTGTCACTTAACATTCAACGTCCATGGAAGCAGCAGTCAAGAAATCAAATGACATAATGAATTTGGCAGCTCTGCTGTAAAAAACCTCTTTAAAGTTTTAAAAAGCAAAGATGTCACTTTGATGACAAGGTGACCCAAGCCACGGTCTTTTCAATTGCCTCATATGATGCAAAAGCTGGACAATGAAAGGAAGACAGAAGAACTAATGCGTTTGAATTGTGGTGTTGGCCACGAATACTGAATATACCATGGATGCCGGAAAAACAAAGTTTTAGAAGAAAATGAAGGAAGCTGTCAACGAGATGGATGGACACAAGAGCCACAACAATGAACTCAGACATACCAGTGATCATGAAGATGGCACACGGACAGGCAGTGTTTCGTTCTGTTATACATAAGGGTGTCAACCTTGACGCCACAGCAACTAACAACAACATCGCTAAAAATAACAACTAATATATATATAGCGCTTCCTTACGAGGTGCCAAGCACTACTCACATCACTTTTCTTCTTTATAGCTGAAGAAACAGACTGAGAGGTTTAATAATTTGTCTGAGGAAGTAGCAGAGAAGGGTTGTTTGACTGTATGCTAAGAATACATAGATCTAATATAAACAAAATAAAAAAGACAGCTTTCTAGCAACATGAACAAATATATGTACAATGTTCACTGCAGCACTCTTCACAATAGCCAAAAGGTGGAAACAACCTAAATGCCCATCGGCAGATGAATGGATAAACAAAATGTGGTACGATGGAATACTGCTCAGCCAGAAAGAGAAAGGAAGTCTTGATACATGCTACAACATGTATGGAGCTCGGAGACATTATGCTGAGAGAAGTCAGTCAATCCCGAAAGGACAAATAGTGTATGACCTCACTTCTATAAAAAGACAAGAACAACACAGCAACAGCAACCAAAAAAAAAAAAAATGTGGTTACAAATGTATGTATCTATGTAAGTACACAGAACATGAATCTACGTGTGTATGAACATATATTCATATATATAACGAAGTACATAGGGGGCACAGTTACCGACACCTCTTAGAAATAACCAAACACCTCGCAGAATTGTTTTTCTGGGTTTGAAGCCTTAGGACCATAGTCTTGTAGGGAAACTCCCTGAACTGGTATAATATAATTCATAAAGTTTATCCTAGTTTGGTGAGTAGTGTCTACGGTCTTAAAAGCTTGCTAGTGACCATCTAAAATATAACTATCGGTCTTTTCTTATCTGGAACAAAAGAAAAAGGAAACAAAAGACTCAGAGAAGAACCTAGTCTATAGGACTAACAGTCTACACAAACCACAGCCTCATCTACCCTAAGACCAGAAGAACTAGATGTTACCGGCTACTACTGTTCACCGTTCTGATGAGGGCCACAACAGATGAATCCTAATAGAAGAGGACAAAAACGTGGAACAGAACTCAAATTCTTAAGAAGTCTGGACTTACTGGACTGGTTGAGACTAGAGGACTCTCTGAGACTACCACCCTGAGATACCCTTTAAACCTTGAACTGAAACTAGCCCCTGAGGTCACCTTTTAGCTAAAGAACAGACTGGCTCATAAAACAGAGTATTACCAGTAAGTACTAAGCGCCTTTAAAAAACTCATCTATATAAGATCAAATGATCAACAATTACTCTAAAGCAAAGACAAAAAGGTAATGGGACAGGGAAACCAGACTACTGAAAACAAAACATCCAGAATGGAATGCGAATGTTGACACATTGCGAAAAACGTTAACCAATGTCACCAATTTGTGTAGTAACTGTTAAATGGGAACCTAATTTGCTATGTAAACTTTCATCAAATACACAATAAAATATTTAAAAAAAAAAAAAGACAAGAACAGGCAAATGTATAGAGACCAAAGTTTACTGGCAATTATCAGGGGCGGGGTGGAGGGGGAAAGTGGGGGGGCTATTGCTTATGGAGCACTAACTTCCGGCTTACGGTGATGGAAAAAAATCACAGTGATTAAGGGTAAGGGTGGCACAGGTGATTAATGTAATGGATATCAGTAAGTTGTACATGTGTAAAAAGTTAAATTGGCAAATGTTATGTGATAGAAATATTTGCAACAACAACAAAGAGCAGCTGCTGAGGCTGCTTATGTAAAACCAAACACCTCATGGAATTTGGTTTCCTGGTTTGGAGGTTTAGGGTCATGGTTTCATGGGGCACCCCAGTTAACCAGCCTAATTTATGCTTAGTGCTTCTGTTCTACCTCCTAGTTCACTGTGTAGTGCCTGAAGTCTGAAAAGCATGCAAGTGGCCATCTAAGATATAATAATTGGTCTCTTTTTGCCTGGAGCAACAGAGGAAGGAGAATCAGGAACAGGAGGAAGAAACGGAATGTGTGGCTAATTGCCTCTATCAACAGCGGTGTCCTTTGCCATGAGACCAGAAAAACAGGATGGTGCCTGGCTACCGTTACTGAACGTTTTGATCAAAGATTCTATAGAAGAATCCTGATCAAAAGGGGAAAAATGCAGAACAGAATTTCAAATTCTCATGGAATTCAGACTTTTTGGAGACATGGAGGCTAGATGAATCCCCGAAACTACTGTCCTGAGATAAACCAGAAAATATTCCCTCAAGTCTTCTTTAAACCAAACAACAGCTTAGCTTAATTAGTAAGTAAAGAATGTCTGCCTTCCCTTGTTATGTTGGCTGTAACAGCATCAGTAGAGTAATACTAAAATAGTAAAAATACATAAACTCAATATTTTCTTATGTACTTTAAAAAGTACTAATAGCAATGAGGCTTAGCATGCATACACACACACATAAAATAAAAACAAATTAGGTACAAATGCAAACACATTTGCTTCCATTTAAGAAACAATAAAAGTTAAGTATAAGGACATGGAAATAGCATATAACATGGATTTAAAAACCCAATTTAAAGTCCAGCCCCACTATAAAAAAGAATGTCTGCCTTGAGCACTGTGCTCTTTTAAGATCTATATGGCATCACACTGACAACAGCAACTCGAAAGATTGGATAGGAAATTTAGAGGGAAGTGAGTTCATGTTAATGGTAGAGAAACAATTTAGAAAAGGAAGGTAAGTATGGTTTCACAACTTGAATATAATCAATGTCACTAAACTGCACATGTAGAAACTGTCGAATTGGTGTATGTTCTGCTGCATATAGTCTCAACAATAACAAAAAATAAAATTAAAAAGACAGTTTCAATTAAAGTGGTATGACTAACATGTGGTTGTCTAACATGACATCATACATTTAGTAACTTTAGTGCAAATATGCAGTAACATGGTGGAGGCAGCCTGTATGGCATATTCACAACAATTATATTCAACTCATTAAAAAATGAAATATTGTCACATTCACAAAATACACCCCCCCCCCCCACACACACACAGAGAACGTTAAGATTCTCAGATCTTCTGCTTCTCTCCCATTCCTACTGCCATGACTGTAGCCCGAGGCAGCGCCGTCTCTTGCCTGAATGACACGCAGCCTTATGTCAAATCTTCGGGTTTCGAATCTTGCTCCCCTCCAGTCCCTCCTCTACACTGCTTTTGGTGCAAGCTTTTAAAACAGCAAAATCGATCATGTCAGTGTCCTACTTAAAAGCCTTCACACTCCCAGATTTTACATCCAGGACTTTTTGCGGCCTGGCCACTCCTTTTTTTCTATCCTCACTTCCTCCGCATTCCCATGCACATGACTCACTGCAGCTGCTCTGAACCTCTTGGAGCTCCTCAAATGCGATGTGTATTTCGCAGTGCCATTCCTTCCCCCGTATGTTACTTTGCTTCCTCCCTGACTAACTCCAAGCAGTCCCGTGAAATACACCTTCAGCACATCATCCTCCAATAATCCTTTGCTGAACCATCTCCCCATCACCTTCTGCATTTCCATAGCACACTGGCGTGTGATCACAGCAGGCATGACTGCACACTGCCATTACAGTGTCCTCCACCAACTGACAGCCCGTGGAGGGGAGACACTAAATCGTGTGTATCCCTAGAGCATACCCAGTGTGAGTAGCTGTCTGATCAGTACACACACACACACATACACACACACACACACACACACAAAGTGATGCTAAAGGTAAAACATCAACACAGAAGTGTGTGGCTCTGACCTTCAGTCAGAATCATACATCGATGACACTTCAGAAGTAATAATAAAGATGCCTGCCCACCTGACGGTCCTCATGGCTGTAACCTGTGGTTGAGACAGGACAGCTGCTCTCATGCTCAGACAGGTACGTCAGCCTGCTCACACCAGCACATGAGCATGACAACTGAGATGATGTACTCTCACTCGGGGGCTTCTGAGGATGGGCACACCTAGAAGAGAGAAGAAAACCTCATGACGAGTTATTCATTCCTTTAACATTATCTCCATTGCTTGCCTACAATCTTGTTAACCTACAGTCTCTGCTCTAGCTGCCTATATAATAACTCAACCATAAATTCATTTCTTACACTTAGTCATCTAAAATCGTAAATTATATTCCTACAAATAAAGTACCTGATAAACTTCTGTAAAAGAAAAATGTCATGGCATCCTCTTTAATAAGTACCATAATAAATAATTACAACAATGTTAGTTAATCATTCATTCAATACAAAATTTTTATAAGGCACTGAACAAAACTGAACAAAACATTAAAAAATTCCTGCCTTCAAAGAGCAAAGAAGAAAAAAAGAATCATGTAGGTAAGTGCACAGGAATGGGAACAGTCACACAACAGCTGATAGGAACGTAGAGTTATACAATCTTTGGCTGAGTGATTAAGCGTACATATTAAAAGCATAAAAGCATGTCCTTTGACTCAGATATTCTACATCTAGATACCTACCCTAAGGAAAAAAAAAATTAACAATAAATATAAAGACTTCACTAAAAGAATATGTCATCTCATCGCTAATGACAGTAACGTCAAAAATGTTAAATGTTTTATAGGAGGAACAAGGTTATAGAAATTTGGGCGCAAACATACAATAAAACACTAGGCAACCATAAAAAAATCACGCTGTAGAATACTATCCTTTGACTCAAAAAAATGTTCATGACATCCTAAGTAAAATAAGATTAGAAAGCGGGGCCCCAAGAAGTAAGATTCCACATCTATTTCTTGCTCTCTCTTTCTTCCCGCTCTCTTTCTCTCAACACACACACACACACACACACACACACACACACACACACGTAAGTATTGATCAGTAGGAGTCACAGGCCAGTCTAGTTTCAAGGAGAAGGAAATAAACTGCACCTCTTGAAGGGAAGTGGCATAGTCCACTTTAATGTCCTTTAAAATATAGAATTAACTGTTACATATATAGGTAATTATTTAACATTTGAAATATTTTGAAACAAATTGAAAATACATTTAACATTCTTTATGATTTCACTGGTTAGGCAAATTTTTCTTTTATCTTTCAATAGAGATACATATAAAAGAACTTTCATAAAGCTATAAAAGATTTACAAATTCAATTTAATAAAAATAACCTTTCTACATGGCAAAAACTATAGAGTCAGAAAGATTTTAGAAACTGGGAACTGCAACTCATATCACAAATAAAGGGCTATTCATTCTCCCTAATATATGACGGGCTCCTACAAACCAGGAAGGAAGAGACAATCCATGAGAAAAATGGGCCACAAACATGGGTAGATATTTGACAGATATGGAAATTCTACGTACTGTAGGAAAGATGATCACTATCATGCATAATAAAAGAAATATAAATTAAAAATATATTGACATCATTTTTTTCATGTATCAGATTGTCAACAATCAAAAAGTTTGATAAACACTCTGTTGGTGATGCTGTGGGAAAACAGGCCCTCTCTTAAGCTATTAGTGGGAATTTAAATTAACACAATCCCTTTGGAGGGATGTACTAATTAAAATATGAATGTGAATGTATATACTCGTTGGCCCAGCAATCTCATTTCTGGGAATTTACCCTACAGATGTACCTGCACATGTCCAAATACAGAAGGTCTGTAGTAAGTCAAAAGATAGCAAGTGTTTATAATACTCTACACTGTGTATAAAAAAGAGGGCCCAATACATACTCATATTTGCTTATACATCATACCTAAAAAAACAAAAACAGAAGTTCTCTAGTGAAGGGGTTAGGGAAGCAGGCAGATGAGGAATAGCAGAAGGGAGATACACACACACACACAAATACACATATGTATATTTGAAAAGTCAATACATTCACACTGGCAAATTTTATATACATATATGTGTTTACTTTTTGAACAACGTAAATTTATAGCCTTTTCAAAAAATAAAATAAAGAAAAATTTCTTATAACTTACTCCAATCCTTCAGAAAGCACTTACCAATCTCAGAATCTGTATTAAAAATACAAGTTAACACTAAATTTAAGATAGGTATTAAAATCAAATTATCCAAAATTTTAAGTGATTTAAAATGGTAAGAAAACAGTGAGATAGACACCCTTATCATACAAGATAGTAAGAGTGCAAATCTTTAAAATCCTTTTAGAAAATAATTTGCTAATACATTGTTATTGTTGTTAGCTGCCATCGAGTTGATTCCAACTCACGGCGAACCCGTTTGTGCAGAGCAGAATTGCTCCGTAGGGTTTTCAATGGCTGTGACCTTTTGGAAGCAGATCTCCAGGTCTCTCTTCTAAGATGTCTCTGGCTGGGTTTGAACTGCCAGCCTTTTGGCTAGTAGTCAAGTGCCTAACCATCTGCACCACCCAGGGGCTCCATACAGAGCCTTAAAGTACTATGACTCTTGACCCAGTAATTTCCCTTCTAGATGTCTATCTGAAGGAAATCAGTCAAAACACAGAATTTAACAAGTTGTTCATCTCATCATTACAACAGTAAAATGGTGTAAGAAAAAATAGTAAATATCTACCAGAAGTATCAAACAAACCATGACAGATGCATTATGCGGCCTGTAATATTACTAATTTTCTTTTAAATATGGAGAATGATTATAAGAAGTGAAAAAAAGCAGAATATGAAAATTTGCACAGAAAAAAGGCTGGAAAGAAATTCACAAAGCATTTACAATGGTTACCTCTGAGTGATGATGATTTTCTTCTTTATACTTTTTTTCCGTATGTCCTATACTGAGTATGTATTTTTATAAAAAGAAGTAAGCACCTACCCTGTTGAAGCTGTTTCAGAAACTTCACTAGGAGAAGAATGACTCAGTGGTGAAGTTGAAGGTCTGAAGCTATTCCGGTCATCCTCTGAACCATGTCCACCATGCCCAAGACAGGTATCTTTCAAATCTATCAGAAAGGTGTATTTTCCAATGAGAACAGGAAAAAAACATTCCCTGTAATTTTGTGAATGTGATTAATTACTCTCACACTTACCAACACTTTCAGGTGAGATCGTGGAATGTTTTTCAAAAGTCACATGCTTTTCACTGTTGCTTGCTTCACTAACACATTCATTTTGTCTCTGATTTTCTCTATTATTTTGTATTTCTTCACATTCTTTTAACAGCCAAAAGGATGTTACTGTGGAATTACTTACTAATGAGTAACTATCAGATGTGGGGGTGGAAACAGACATCGTTTTTTCACTATTATCAATATCTGGTAATTTGGTACCACTGGAATATGTCTTTACATCAATCACTGTGCTCTCATTCGCTCTTGTATTTGTAAGAACTGGATTTGAAGAGTTTATAGGTGTAAATGATTCCTGGTTCTCAGTCTCTCTGTTTTTGCTATAAATAGCTGCTGTGTTTTCTTGTGGTTCCATTCCACTTAGATTAGTTGCACCCAAGTCCACTGCATGGATAGCTTGTGCAGTCTGTTCTTTTGGCAAAGAGAAATCCCAAATATCAGACACATCAGCTCTTGAAAACTTTTTCAATTCAGCTTCACATCTACTAACTTCTGTTTTTTTAAGGTATTTCTCCATATCAAACGCGTTGGAGCCATTGCTTTTTTCTAAATCATTTGGTAAGAAATGAGACACAATGGAAAAGTTTTTTTGTTTATCTTCCTGAAAAGTCTTCTCTCTGGTTTTATTTGAAAGTGCCTTTATCATGGCAGCAAGCTGGGAAGGATCCGTATTGACGGATGCATTTGCAATGGCTGAAGCAATGGTGCTTATCCTAAGTACAGAATCGCCACTATCAGACAGCTCGTCTCTGTACCTTCTGGGCTGGCTGTTCATTAAGAAAATGTCCTAGAAATGATCAAATTTACATCAGACAATTTATCTCAGTTCCATGGACATGTACATATTAGTTTAACCTTTATTTATAAGTGCTACATAAGATTTAACAGTTGCAAGAAATCTAACAAAATATGTGCAAAAATCTCTGGACAAAAAAACTATAAAATAGAGAAATTAAAACCTAAATGAGTGGAAGGATATGTAATTTTCATGGATTAGAAGATTCAATATTAAAAAGACATCAATTTTACCCAGTCTGTCCTATAGCTTAAATGAAACTCCAACCAAAAGCCCAACAGGGTTGTTTGCTGGTTGGTGTGTGGAAGCTGACAATCTGATTTTAAAATATACATGGAAATACAATGGGCCAAGAAGAGCCAAGATACTTTTAAAGAATAGATAGAAAGACTTGCTCTTCTAGACATTCAGGCTTGTTGTAAAACTACAATATTTCCTAGTGTCATAGTGACACAAGACAAACAGACCAAAGAAACAGAATAGAGAATCCATAAACAGACCCATACATTAATGAATATTTGATTTCTGACAAAGCTGGCACATTAGGGAAATGGGGAAAGGATGCCTTTGTCAATAAAGAGAGACAGCATTAAAAGGGTGAAAAGGCAAATCACAGAGTGGGAAAAGACACGTGAAAACACTCAGAAATGACAAAAGCCTCCTACCCAGAACATGAAAAGAATCACACATCAACAGGACAAACAATCCATTAGAAAAATGAGCAAGAGACTTGAACAGGCACTTCACTAAAGACGCTATCTCAGTGACCAATGAACATATGAAAAGGTACATAACTCAATTAGTAATCAGGGAAATGAAAATTTAATAAAGGAGGTACTACTACACACCTACCAGAGCGACTAACAATACCAAGTGTTTGATGAGGATATGTAGTAACAAGGATTATCACAGAGTGCTGGACAGAATCTACACTGGTATAACTAACCACTCTGGTAAACTCTATGCCAAATCTACTAAAATTGAAGGTATGTAAACCCTATGATCCAGCAACTCCACTCTTAAGTACAAACCTCCATGAATGTGTGCACACTGCCAATAAGACACACACAGGTACCAGGATGTTCACAGAGCATTATTTTATAATTGCCTAACACTAGAAATATCCTAAATGTCTACCAACGACAGAATGGATATATAAATTGCAGAACACTCATATAAAAAAATACTATGCAGTAATGAAATAAGCTTCTACTATACTCGACAACAGAGCTGAGTCTCACAAACACAGAGTGAAAGAAATCAAAGAAAAATACATGCTACATGTTTCCTTTTACATAAAGTTCAAAAATAGGTGAAAATTAATAAGGTGTTAGAAGCTATGGAAGCAGCAGTCAAGAAATCAAAAGACACACTGCATTGAGCAAATCTGCTGCAAAAGACCTCTTTAAAGTGTTGAAAAGCAAAGATGTCACCTTGAAGACCGAGGCGCGCCTGACCTGAGTCATGGTGTTTTCAATCACCTCATAGGCATGTAAAAGCTGGACAATGAATAAGGACGACCAAAGAGGAATCGACACCTTTGAATTGTAGTGGTGGCGAAGAATAGTGAATATACCATGGACTGCCAAAAGAATGAACAAGCCAGTCTTAGAAGAAGTACAACCAGAATGTTCCTTAGAGGTAAGGATGGCAAAACTACATCTCACATACTTTGGACATGTTATCAGGAAGGATCAGTCCCTGGAGAAGGACATCATGCTTGGTAGAGGGCCAGTGAAAAAGAGGAAGACTCTCCACGAGATGGGCTGACACAGTGGCTGCAACTATGGGCTCAAGCATAACAAGGACTGTGAGGATGGCACAGGACAAGGCAGTGTTTTGTTCTGTTCTACATACGGTTGTATGAGTCAGAACCGACTTGACAGCACCTAACAAGAACAACAGAAGTCAGGGGAGGAAGCAGGCAAAAAATGGTTTCTGGGGTGTTGGCAATGGTCTCTTTCCTAACGTGGAGTGTACACAGTGTGCAATTTGTGATAATCCCCTGGGTTGTTAAGTTTGTTTTATAAATTCTTTTGTATGTATATTTTATATCAGGAAAAATGTTTTTAAAAATTTAAAGAACAGTTATAAGAAAACTGAAGCCAGAAAAAAAAAAAAAGTTAAACAACATTTATTTTTCACATGTGGCCTTTTCTTGGTCTTATACAAGAACTATGACAACACAGTTTTAGCTTTCCTTCATGAAAGGCTTAAAATACCTCTGTTTTGCCTTTATCAGCAGTTAATGTCACATCACTTCCATCCTCCTGTGAAGCACTCTCCAATTCTTCAACCTTAAGTGTAACTGATCCTTCACTTAGTTGTGCCTTGGATTGCTCATTTAAATCTCCTGTAGGAAACACACAATATCCAACTAACAAATATACACTATCTCTGTATGATAAGGTCCAGACAAAATAATTAACTGTATGCAAAGAAGTCTGTGTACCCTAAATGTCATCAGTCATCCTGACAAAAACTGTTTAAAGCTACAGTCACTAGGACAAAGGAAGACAGCATTATTAATTTGGCTCAATCCCGTAAAGTTTAAAGTTTGAAGGAAGACAGTGGATTTTAATCTCTCCCTTGTAAATACTCGGAGCCCTGGTGGCACAGTGCTAACAGCTTGGCTGCTAATCAAAAGGCTGGCAGTTTGAATTCACCAGCTGCTCCTTGGAAACCCTACGGGGCAGTTCTACTCCGTCCCACAGTGTCACTATGAGTCAGAATCAACTCGACAGCAACGGGTTTAGTTTGGTGTAAATACATAAACTCATTTAATATTTTTTAGCTTTAAACATTTCACAAATATATAGTAAGTTGAGTTCAAAAGTGAATACTTCTTTACAGCAATAAAAAATCAACTAAGTATAAATAAAGAGACTCTTGATCTCATCTCTCCTAGTGGACTACAGGGTCTTTAAGAGATGGAGTCTATCTCATTATATATCACCAGGCACTATACTAGCAAAAAGTAGCTGTTCAATAATTGTGTGTTGCCCAAGAAGGTTTGATTTTAAATATCTGTTAGAGATATTTATCACAGTGTTTATCAAATTTAAGACTATCCTAGTCTAAATCTCAAAACACCCCTTTAACTAAAAAATACAATATTTATGATTCATTAACTCAGTTTATTTATAGTCCATTTGAACAAATTATTTCATTTACTCTGATTTTTACAAAAGGATTTAGGTGGATTTTCGCTAACTTGTTTCCTCTTTAGATTGAAAAGGAAATGTGGAGTTACTATATAAATCAAATCCATAACCAATACTGAAAAAATTCGAAGTGGTATATACATTTACACTCATAAAAGCCATAATTAAGCAACCACTAAGTTACAGGAAAAAACAAGGCTCCTAAAAGCCCCTTCATTTAATACATTACCTGCTAATAAATTGTGGTTAAGATGAGCCATTTCTTTTTCCAAATTGTTTCTTGATGCATCAGATTTTCTTATTAAAGCAACAGGTTCTCTCTTCTCTGGTGATCTAATAAAATAACCAAATGATGGCTAAAAAATAATTAAACGTGAATTATTTTCTTTATTTTCAACTGCTTTAACAAATTCTAGACTATTTTAATACCAGTAACCTATAGCTAAATGACTTCAACATTATATAATCTTTCTTTCCACTTCATTTTTAAATTACTAAAGACGAACATAAAAAGTTCAGACAGGACCTTTTATTTCCTCACTAAGCTATAGGGTCGCTATGAGCTGGAATCAACTCAATGGCAACGGGTTTGGTTTTTTTTTTTTTTTTTAAGCTATCTTTTAATCATCAGAACTAATATTGTCAAATAAGCTGCCCTGATGAAGAACTCCAAACTAAAACAACCCGGAAATAATACTTTATTCCCTCAACAATTATTACTGAATACCTACTATGTGTCAGGCACTGTTCTAATCTCAATGATATATCGGGGGCAAGGGGGTAAAAATTCCTGCCTTCCTGGAATTTACAATATAAACCAAAAACCAGATGCCACTGTGCTCCATAGGGTTTTCAATGGCTTATGTTTCAGACGGAGATCACCAAACCTTTCCTGTAAGGCATCTCTGGGTGAACTCAAACCTCCCACCTTTCAGTTAACATCCAAGCTCGTTAACTGTCTGCACCACCCAGGCCCTCCTAACCTATACTATAAGTGGATTTTATTCTATAGAATAAATAGGTCCTTGAAAATCCATAGTAAGATTTCATGCGGTCCTACTGACTTCGATGAAGGTTTCAGAAAGGTTTGCCTTCAAGAAGCTTGCTAAAGAGAAAGCAATTTCCATTTTTCATTCTTTACAGAATTTTCACACAATAGGCCTAAAATGTGGATTCGTTTAAAAAAAAAAAAAAAGCACTCAATTTTATATGATCTTCACTTTGGAATTTCTTCCCTTGACCCAGTAACTTGAATTCAAGCAAAATTTACAACTAATACACCAAAATAAAAATTCCTACTAATGAACCATGATCCAGTGCTTTGTTCGTCTGTTTAACAAGGAATTTAGTTACTCTTCAACTTCTCTCACAATCTCAAAAATCCCAATCAATCCAGGCAGAAAAACCAACTGTGATGGTTAAGATTGTGTGTCAACTTGGCTGGGCCATGATTCTTAGTGTTTATATTTGATCACCCCCATGAGGGGATCCGCTGTGAGTAGCCAATCAGTTGAAAGGGAGTTTCCTTGGGAGTGTGACCTGCATCTGAATATAAGTGGACGTTCTGTCTTTTGCCTGCTCTGGATCCTGCAGCTGGCTCCTGCTCTCTGACCTGCTGATCTTGGGTTTGCTAGCCCCTTCAGCTACATGAATCAAGAGAAGCCTTGTGGTCCTGCCTACTGATCTTGGGATTCATTGATCTTAACAGCCCATGAGCAAGAGCCCTACTCTCCAACCTGCTGATCTTGGGCTCACCAGTCCCTGCGGCTACATGAATCAGGAGAAGCCTCTATCCTGATCAATGGACTTGGGACGTTCCAGCCTCCACAATCGTATGAGCTATTTCCTTGATCTCTCTCTCTATATATATATATTTACATGCTTTACTGATTTTGTTTCTCTAGAGAACCCAGCCTACGACACCCACTTTTCTATTTTCATTTTTTTAATCTACTGCATAGTCTGGACCACAATTTAGTTTCAAATTTAAAGTCTGCGAATTAACTGTGATTTCTAATACTACATCTATTACTTGAAAATTGTATTCCTAGTGGTATCCAGTTTTAATAAATGCTCGCTCCAATAATCTTAATTCCCCATATGGTATTTATCAACAAGTACTCTGACTTGTTGAACCCTTGCACTTTTCTCTGTTTCCATACTATCCATCCTAGTTCCCAGCCTTCATCACATCTCTTCCCACTGGCTAAGCCTCTGCCTGTTTCTATACCTCTGACAAGTTGGTGTTGACCACTGGCCCAGGCGGAACAAACAGCTCCCTTCAACAGCTGACCTTCTTGGACTTCGGGCAACATGGTGCTACACTCAGAAGCACCACGCCGTCCCTCTGCAGCAAAGATCAGAAAATCTAAGTCAAACAGAATCACATGTCAATCCTGAAACCCTAAGCATCAAAAGAAGAGATAAAGAACTCAGCCAAGCACCGAATGGAAGGAAGAAATTAACCGAGAACAGAGCTTAAGGAGAGATACATGCAGAGGTCCCCTATCAGCTACTACATCACGGATCCACCATCTTGGACTCCTATCACAGATCAGTGAACAGGAGGTATGAGAAAGCTGCTTCACGGAACTTCCAGCAGGAGAGAGAACAACCGGTAACCCACAATATAGGCTTTCCCACCCCTACCCTTCTTCACCCGCACTTAGCCTCCTCCGCTTCTTGAAGCCACAGTCTATTGGCCAGGAAGCCCGAGCTTCCCCCTAGTGACGCTTGGATTCCACCCGCCCGCACTGGTCAGCTCCCTGAGTACAATTTGTTGGCTGCTGATGTTGCTTTTTTCCGTTTCTTTAGATTTCTTCCTTACCTCTCACCACCTCTCTCTCTCCTTCTTCTCAAATACCTGGCTCTGAGAGCCATCTCTGCTTCTTCCTCAAAGGCTGCGAAACACTGCTCGATTGTGAAACTGCTTCCCGGCCCATGCTACCATGCTGGTGGGACCCCGGGGCTTTTTCGTTTGTTTGTTTATTTGCTCTGATTTGTTCTGTTTTGATTTGTTTGTTTTCATTTTCCTTTCTCAGCTTGGGAGCCCCTTCTAGCCGGGCAGTACCACGCAGCTTGGAAAATAGTCCCTTACCCTGCGCAGATGCACAGGGACATCCCTGAGGGCATTTCTTTTTTCTTGCTTTTTTTTTTTTTTGGATTTTTTTTGTTTTTGTTTTTTCATTCCTTTGTCTAGTGTTCTTCTCTCTCTTATTCCCTTTCTTTCTTCATTTGCAGTTTCTCGATTTATTCATTTTGTTCTCTTACTCTTTTTCTTTCTTTTTTCATTTTTGTTTTTCCCCATTTCTCAATCTCTCATCTCACCACTCCAATAGCAAGCTCCCTTATCACTCTTTTTTGTTTGTGTGTATATTCTTGGCTCCTGTTCCTCTCCTCTCTCTCATCTTTCTCATACACATCTTCGTTCCACACATCACAATCTACCCCCTCCTTCCTG